AGAAAACCTCATTGATACAGTGAATGAACTGATGGTTGCCAGATGGGAGGGGAGTTAGGGGGGTTGATGAAAAAGGTAAAAGGATTAAGAACCACAAACTGTCAGTTACAAAATAGTCACAGGGATATAGAGTACAGCGTAAGGAATATAGTCAATGAGATTGTAATAACTATGTATGGTGTCCAGGGGTACTAGGTTATTGGGTGATCACTTGTAAGTTATGTAAATATGTAACCACTAAGCTGTACACCTGTAACTCATGTAATGTTGAATGTCATTTCACAATATGTGAATCACCATCATGCTGTAAAGTTTGGTTTCTCTTATTGCTCATGTGTCATTTAATTGTGTTTTAAAAGTCTACTATTTTTCAAATAAGTTAGACAGAGAAGGACAAATACTATATGATTTCACTTATATGTGGAATCTAAAAATAACAAAACATAAAATCTCATAGATACAGAGAAAGTTTTGATGATTGTCCGATGAGAGGGGGTTTGGGTGCATTAAAAATAAGGGGAAGGGATTAAAAAGTACAAATTGGCTGTTACACATTAGTCATAGGGATGTAGGGGATAGCGAGGAACATAGTAATATTGTAATAACTATATATGGTGTCAAGGGGGTACTAGATTATTGGGGGGGTCACTTTGTAAGTTACATAAGTGTCTAACCATTATGTTGTATACCTGAAACTAATATAGTGTTGTTAACTGTAATTGAAAAATAAATAAATAAATAAATAAATAAATAAATATTTTCCTGCCCTTCCCATTTTTTGGTAAGTGAAAAAAATTTTAATTACCTTTGTTTACTCCTACATAGTAAGTCTTGGACTTTTGTCATTTACAACAAATATTTCTATTAAAATACAGTTATGATTGGAACATAAATCAACAAAAAATATAATTAGTTACGTAATGTTTCATTCAATCTCTGCCATAGTGATATAGGTAAATATTGTTTCAAGTTTTATCCTTCACAGAGATATTATTTTTATCAGGGGAAATGTACAGAACTTACATAAGGATAATAAAATGAATGAAGAAATTTTAAGAACTAGGGCAGAGCAATTGAGAAGATAAATTTGGGAATTGATGATTGTTCTGACGGTCACCATAAGTTGAAAATGTAGTAATTCTTCAGAATATTAGTGACAAATGTCATTAAATACCTATATTAATAGAATTATGATTTTATTTTTTTATTATAATAGAAATAACATAATGAGTGTATAAGGAAAAGTTCATAATGCCAGTTTTAGCAGCCCTGCCTAAGACCAGAATTTAAGCATCAAATTTACTCTTAACAAGGCACAAGTCTTCAGTGTTTGTGATTAAGATGGAAGCAAGTTAACAGCATGAGTGGTCAAGACTTTTGTCCCCAGAAATCTTTTAGAATAAGAAAATAATTTCTCAGAGACACTTGCCAATGGGCAAAGTAAATAACACACCACCAACCCAAAGTATCCTATATTCTGGAGGTGTGTGATGAGATAAACCGTCTTCAAAATACCCCAAGTATAAGAATTTCCTGTTCAGACTTTAAGTGACACATTAATGAGAAATCCACTTTTTCCACTCTTGCTGCACTCTGAGCTTTCACTGGGCAGCCTGTGAAGACCACAGATGTTGTTTGTTTACAAGAGTAACCCGGTCTCCCTCTGCAGGATGCTCATCTTTCTGGCCTGAAAAAGGTATGTGTCTCTACTCTCCTGTCTGTACTGGCCCATCTCTTGTGTGGAAGATTACAAATGCTAGATGTGAGGCAAGTGAGGTATAATTAATATGCAATCAAATGAAAAAGAACATTGGTATCTTTATTTAAGTAATTCAGGGTAAAATCAAGAATAAAATCTGAAATATGTTGGAGGATTTCTTAAACTACTCAAATTCTTGCCTGTGGAGAATTACTTAAGTGAATACACACATGCACAACTGGGTTTGAAAACCAAAACAATTTAAAGTGAAATCCCATAAGAATCATGACAAAGAACAGTTATTTTTGAGTTTTTATAATTAATATAGATATAATTATATATTATATTTGATATTTAAGCTAGGCTTTAAAAATACATTCTTAAAATAAATTCTTTGAATTGTGAAGGTTAAACATAATTCTTCATATACTTACTAGATTAAATAAAAGCAATTGGCTTTTAATAAAAATGTATATGAGATAGCTCCAATATAATGTTAATTTAAGTTATAAACAATGAAAATATTTTTTAAAAAATTAAATGAAACATTGCAAGAAAAGATATCACACTGATAAAGAGATGCTTGTGTAATGAATTATGTTACACTCTGACATAAATTAGAAATAACATGTAATATGTTAAAATAATAATTCACATAACTAACATACTATTGAGAGTTTATAAAAGCCTGGTTGAATATTAAGTATTTTATATGTACTATATCTACACATTTTTATTGCCACTTTTCATTAGTAATCTAGGTGGCTAGACACTAAGTAACTATTTAAAAGTCATATATTATAAATCTCGATCCAGATTTAATTACAGAACTCATTGACCACAGAGCCTATTGTGACTGAATTATTAAACTATATGATTTGATTCATTACTTTGCTTACAAAACTAAAGCTACCCTCATTCACTTTGAAAATCATAGGAACTTTTTGAAAGTTTAAAACAGCAGTGTCCTTCTATAAATGATCTGCACATGTATTTATCATTTTATAGTTTTATATCTTTACCATTAAATCAGTACCCATTTATTGTTATATAAGTATTTTAAAAATTATGTTGCTGTTGTTTTGATGTCAATATTTTTTAGATTTTGAATAAGTTTAGTGTGTCTGTAACATTTTTCAACATATGAAATATTTCTTTAAAAATTATAATTTCTCGTAACTTCACAATGATTCAAAATAAAAGATGATTTGACAACAACCCATTCCCTTTACTAAATAAATGTAAGTCACTAAATGAAATTAATTTAGTGCAGGGAATTACTATATCTGCCGACACTACTAATTCCCCATCTGTGAGCACTCAGTCTTTAACCTTATTGTATTTCAAAATAATCATAAATATTGTGTTACTTTTTTCCAATACAGAATTTTAATTTTTAACACAGACATTCTAATGGTGTTAAAAATATTCCTCTGTCATCTGACTTAAATTGAGGATATTATTATTTATGAACTTCTTTATTCCTCACTAATTTATTGCTTTTCATTGCTCCAACCAAATATTTATTGTCAAATATAGAATTCTAAAAATTGTCACCCCAATAAATTTTAATTCAAAAGAATGTATTTAACCATGAGACACTTATTTAAAGCTCTAACGTATCTAAAACGAGACCTTTAGATTCTCGTACTGGGACATGAGCCCACCTCACCTCTACCCCACCCACTTTTACTGCAGGGGGATCTCGTCATTGCATATACCATTCATTCTTAAGTACACTTACCTTAGACACAGTCTCGGACACCACTCAGCTGCAGAGATGAGTAACCAAAGAGTAACCTATGCAGAACTGAATCTGGCTAAGGGCTCCAGGAGACAGCAAATAAAACCTAAGGACACGAAGAGCCCCATTTCAGTAACTGAGCAGGAAATAACCTATGCAGAATTAAATCTTCAAAACACTACACAAGATATTCAAGGGAGTGATAAGAACTACCACTGCAAAGGTAAGATGTTTAACAGATACACAGTGTAATTGTTCTAGGATGTGCAGTTGGGATGCTGGGATGTGGGGAAGCAGTAGGGAATATGTGGAGAGACATTTTTTATTTGTGGGGATCAGAGTTTGAAGTTGGAATACAGTTTTCTAATATGAAATCTGAGGCTAATTTTACTCAGTTGTCGTTATAATGTGTAGTCTTTGACCAACAACTCATGGAGCATTGTATTCCCTGACAATGCAGTGGTGTATATAGTCTGAGAGGAAGATGCAATGGTAGATATGGGCCTGGGATCCAAGGTTATATTTATGATTTCCTGTTCAGGAAGGCTCTCTGTGTGTAAATTGTCTAAACAATTACCCCTTCTCACTTCCTCAGTGTTTCCCTTTCTCTCCCTGTAGATTTTCCATCACCTCCAGAGAAGCTCATTGCTGGGGTCCTGGGACTCATCTGCCTTGTCTTGCTGTCCACTGTGCTAACAATAGCTGTTACTCCCCGTAAGCAAATTTTTGAAAGATTATAAAGGAACTTTTCACTTTAATGATTGATTGCCAATGCCTCTAAACATTTCATAATACTATGGAATAGGCCTCTAATTATAACGCATGCATTTAGACTAAATGTGAAAGTGCTGACTGAATTTGTCAAAGACATAAATATCGGAATGATTATAGAGAGCATTTTGTAAATATATGTACATATATTCATAAAAATTCTTACATCATAACTCAAAGACATGCTTTAGGAGGCTTAAAGACCTTATCAAGAAATACAAACTAATTATTGAGATAGATTAAGTCAAATACTCTGGTGCCATTTGATCCTTTAGGCTTTTGAAATATATTTCCCCAATCTTCATTAATTCATTGTTTTTTCTTTGTAAAATCAATTTTATTTCAGATTATTCTAATCCCAAACATTACACAAAATTTCAAAGTAAGAAACAAAAAGTATTATGATTTATTTCAGTCAATATTAATTTTTTAATAAGAATTACTTTTTTTTTCTAGCTACTGTAACTCCAGAGCAGAACAATTTCCCTTTGACAACAGGGATCCAGGAAGGTACAGAATGATTTTCAAAGCTCTGATATTAGTACAGTTTATAGCTTCTGTAACTCAGGGTAGGCAAAAATAATAATAGGGTTTTGTTTTGGAAAATATAAATTATAATATTAGGCAAAAATGTTCATAAATAACAATTTTAGGAGAATGCTCCTTCTTATGCAACAATATGAAGAAATGTTCATTTTAAATCACCATACCCATTGCTGCTCACTGTTACATTTCCTCCTGCTACTATGAGACAAATAATTTTGCTATTCTAAAAACGTGGTTTTGTTCATTTACTTTCATGATGTGTGGTAGGGTGGATATTTATATTAGTGTGTTTTCTTTATTTGGGCACATACATTAGGGGGTGAGAGGCTGACCCTTGTCTGTGAGTGTGTGTGATTGTGTTTGGTGTTATATGTACCAGACAGTGAGGATGCATAGCAATGTTATGCACATATATGTTTATATTTATGCAAATATGTAAATTTATTTTTATTTTTTTAATTCAAATTGGTTTTGAATAATAATTTCTTCAGCATGTCATTGTGGTCGATGTCCAAAGGAGTGGTTAACATATTCCAACAGTTGTTATTACATTGGCACTGAAAGAAAAGCATGGAATGAGAGTCAGATGGCCTGTGCTTCCGAGAACTCTAACCTGCTTTATATAGATAATGAAGAAGAAATGGTAAGATTTTAAATGTTTTCTATATTTTATTAAAAGATTATTTGGTCTATATTATATTTGTAGTATTCATTCATATTTTTTATTTATTTGTAGTTTATTTTAAAGTCTGTTAATATTCTGTTATTTAACTCTAATATCTTATTTATATTTCATGCCATTAATGCACGTTTAATAATTTCCAGTTCCTACTTCCCATAGACAACCATGGTGTATAAATGCTTTTTGTCTAAAATAAGTTTTGCTATTTATTTTGCTATATAATTTTAAATTATATCAAGGGATCTAAAAATACCATGGATGTGCAAATATTTATAAATTAAAAGGACCCATGTATATACAAATCAGAACATGAAATAGAAGTTCCAAATACTATAATATACTTAAAATTTATATGTTATATACACATTATGTAGAATATATTGTATTTATGTAAGCACAATATTTATAATAGTTTAAATATAAAATTATATTATAATAATTATATGTGTGTATAGCTATAATGTATTGTCTTCTATGTCTCAGAATAAAATTGCAGGGTCATAAATGTATATGTCAAATTTATTAAATTTTACCAGCATTTTTTTTTGTTTATTAGTAAATACACATTTTTACCAAATAGTTCTTTAATTTAAAACTTAGTATATCAGGAATTTGAATGTTATTTTTATCATTATAGGAAAGTATCATGATGACATTAATAGGTATTTTCCTGATTACTCTCAGGGTGAACACATCCTTTGGGCTACTAATCATGACATTCTCCTCTGTGAGAATGACAAGTACCTGTCATGTCTCTGGTCCATTTCTCCTGCATGTTGTCTGTCATTTTCCTTCCTCGCAGTTCTTGTTATTATATATTTTGGTTATGAGCTCATTTTTTTATTTATAAGATACAGCTAGCTCTTTTTTGACCTTGTGACCTACACTTTTATTCTCATAGTGGAGTCTTTGAATGACCAGAATTTATTAATGTTAGCACAGTCTACTTGATCATTTTGGGTGTTAGTGATCATTTTGGATCTACTTCTGGAATCAGTCAAGGCTCATGAAGACAGTCGCCAACATTACTTTCTAAGTTTTATTGTTTTCCTTCATTATCATTATCTTATTGAGGGATCATAATTTATAGTAAAGATTATCCTTTCATAATTATGTATATATGCAATTATAATTCTATATTTGCATATATGCACTAATCTGTTTATATACATAGTATGTATTATATATATCTTATATAGATGATCATGTATATATTATATGTATATACATATACAAACACACAGTCATTTCCTTATGTGTGGAGATATGTTCTAAGACCCCAGTGGATGCCTGAAATCACTGATAGTACTGAACCTTATACACACAATGTTTTTTCTCAGACATAAATACCTGTGATATAGTTTAATTGATAAGTTAGGCTCAGTGAGAGATTAAGAACAGTAACTAATAATAAAATAGAACAATTATTAAAATATACTGTAATAAAAGTCATGTAAATATGATCTGTCTCATTTCTCAAAATATGTTTAACTTACCCACCCAGTTTGACATACAAAAGCAAAAGTAGCACAAATTTCTTTTTCCTTCACAATTTCACGGATGGAACATTATTTCTTACTGTAGGTTTTAGTGATTTCTGCAGATGATTTCTCATCTTTCTTTATTAAATTGAGAATGTTCACCTTTTCACTTACAGGAAGCACTTTACAGCCTCTCTTTGGCGTATTTGATTGCCAGTATCACTAGTCTGGTGCTTTAGGACCATTATTAAGTAAAATAAAGGTGACTTGAACACAAGCCCTGATCCTGTGACCGTGGCTCTGATAACCAAGAGAGCTGCAGGCGACTAACATTAGGGACGGGGGCATGTGCAGCGTAGAGATGCTGGACAAAGGGAGGCTTCATGTCCTGGGCAGGACGCAGTGGGACAGGGAGTTTCATCATGTTACTTAGACGACACACAGCTGAAACTTGAGTTTTTTCATTTTGTAATTTTTTGTTTAATACATTTGGACCCTGGTTGACCGTAGGCATCTGAAACAGCAGGTAACTGAAACCATGGATAAGGGGTGACCACTGTATATAAGACACAGTCTACACAGCCTACAGCAGTTTGAGTAACATGGATAAGCCTTATCTCCCTTTTGTGCCTTTACTGTGTTCATTTATAATTCTCATAAATATTTTATGAATATACATTGAGAATCACATGACAGAATGTTATAATTTCCCTCAATTTATAATTTTGCCTCAACTATGAAACAATTTAGAAAACAGGAGAAGGAAAGTCTATATATCTAATAAGATTTTTACTCTTTGTTTTCTTTTCCTTCCTGATGATCCAAGAGTCCCTCTTTTATCATTTACTTTCTGCTTAGATGTTTCCCTTTAGCTGTTCTATTAGAGCAGGCCTGGTGGTGACACATTTTTTTTTAGTTTTTCGTTATCTGAGAATGTCTTGATTTTTCCGATATTCCTTGTTGGTATTTTCAATGAAATTTTCTATGGTTTTTGGTAGGAATAAAGCAGTTAGCATCTAAAAGTGTTCTATCTTGCCAGCCTGCTCTTTTCGCGGTCCTTTGACTGGGACTTTGGTCTGCGCCCATGGGTGTTTGTGGTTTGCTGGCCTCTCCAGCCTCCAGTCTGGGATAAATGAGGTAAAAAGAAACTCCAGGGAGCTCACTGCTATCTCACTCATCAGGTCCCGAGTTCCCAGTTCTGTCATCTTTCTCTTCTCCTTTTGAATCGTTTTATGTTTGTTTCTTTTATGTGTAATGTCCAGGGATTTTAGCTGTGTTTAGGGGAGAAATATACAACATCCACCTCTATCTTTCCAGAACAAGAAGTCTGATCTGTAACAGTTTTAATTGAATGTTTTTTAAGACTAATGGTTTTGAGAATCTTCTCATATACTTATTTGTCACCTTATATCTTTTTAAATATTTTTATTCTATTCATTGGGGTGACATGGGAGCTTTTAAATCTTCACTGTAATCATTGAATTGTTTATATCTCCTTTTAATTTTGTCAGTTTCTACTTCATGTGTTTGTGAGTTCTTTTGTTAGGTGGTCGTATGTTTAAAATTGTTTTATCTTCTTGTAATGCCATCATTAAGCTTTTGAACTGTTCCTTTTATTTCTAATAATATTTCTTGTTTTAATAGCTTTTTGTCAGATATTAGAATGAACGTTTCAGCTCCCTTATGGTCACACTTTATAGGGTATGTCATTTTTCATCCTTTTACTTTCATTTTTTGTGCCTTTGAATATAAAGTGCATCTATGATACAGAGCATATAGATAGGTCTTACATTTTTACTCAGTATGAAAACTTCTATCTTTAGACTAAAATGTTTATTTTATTCACATTTAATATAATTATTGGTATAGTTGGATTCAGGTCTGCTGTTTTGCTCTTTGTTCTACGTGCATGTCTTTAGGTTTTTTTCTTCCATGTTTCCTGACATATTTTGTCTTAAACGAAATCATTTAAGATAATATTATTTTAGCATTCCATTTTCATTCCTCTGTGGATGGTTTGGTAATTTTTTTAAATTTTCTTAGTAGTTGCTGTAGATATTACAAACATATCCTTAACTCATCACTGTCTACTTCAAGTTCATTCAATAAATTTCAGTAAAATATAGAAACTAAGCACCAACATAGCTTTATTTCCTCTCCTCCCTCTGTTGGGTTCTTACTATTCCTTCTAACAGTGTTGTACTGAGCCAGGCAGCACTGGTTTGTGAATCCTTTGTGACCTGACATTCATGACTTATATAGGATTACTTGAAATGAATTATTCTAGGGATTTTTGCACCACAGAAATAAGCGAATGTCAACAAATCAGGATTTCTTCCCCACCCCCGAACAAGGTGCCCATTTACCAACACAAAGTTGCATCCGTATATAATATAAAACCAACCAAACAGTGTTATAATTAATGCCTTAAGTAATCATTTAAAAAAAAAAGAAATCACAAGAACAGACGATTAACTTTACCCATGGTTACCGTTTCTACTGCTCCGCCTTCCTCCCCGTGGATGTGAGTTACCTCCAGTGTCATTTACTTTTAGCTTGAAGAATGTTTTTGGAGGGCAAGTCAGCTAACAAGGAATTCTCTGTTTTTGTGTATGTGTAAGGTCCTTATTGCAACTCCTTTATTTGAATGACTGTTGTGATGAATTTAGAATTGTTGTTTGACAGGTTTTGTTGTGTTTTTTCCCCCAGTACTTTCAGCTCTTTGAATATGTCTCTCCCTGCTTACTGCTCGTCATTATTTCTTTTAAGGACTCATCTATTAATCACATTATTATTTTCCTATATGTAATGGGTACGGTTTCTTTTTCTTATTACAGGGTTATCAATTTTTTTTATTTGTTTGCTTTCCATTCTACATTTTATATTGTGATAAAAACAATTAAAATAAAATTCCCCATTACCAAGTCCCCTTCGGCTTTTATTTTTACTGGGACCATCTTTATCTCCTCTGCACAAGTATGCATTGGTTTCATTAGCCAAGAATGGAGACAGAGCTAATTTCATCTCATCTGCTGTGCTCTCCCTTTTGCTTTCTCTCCATTATATTTGTGGCTGGCACTGTGTGAACACACAGGAGACTACAAGCTCAGACTAGAAAAAGTGTGGGTTTTCCTCTTTTTAGCCTTGTAAATTCAGCACTTTGAGCTTAAAAAATAGTGGACAATTTATCACCCTCTCCCCGACTGCTAATTAAGTCTGCCCCTGTGGCAACAACACCACTGATTTTTGCAGCCTTCTCCAAATTGTAAAAACTACACTTCTTTTTTACTCACTGAACTGAGGCGGGGGTGGGGGCAACACAGGACTAGTCCTAGGCAAAAATACTACAGATTTGCTCCATTCTTATTGGGATTTCTAGGAGCTTTTCCAATAATAAATATGTTACAAGTTATTACTAGTCTTTGATCAATTGTTGCAGCCTTGAAATTATTTGTGTCAATTTTCCTCTACACATAATCATACTAACACATTTTCCTAATGTGTCCAGTATGTCAGTATATAATGTAAATTGAGAGACTGTATAGACTAGAAAGAATTGACTTTATATTACATTAAAAATTCATATTAGTGTAAAAGCTTT